AAGCGAAGAGAATACACTACGTTAAGAAATGGCCGTGGCCGGGCGGGTTTTACACCTGACAGCGTTATATAATTGTTGCATAATTTGGTTAAAAATATGTTTGGCCGGTGTACTTAACACTTTTACATTATTATATAGGTCTTCCGTTAATGAGGTGTTAATATTATAAAGTGTAGGCCGGTCATCCGAACCACGGGTACTAGGCATACGCGACAGTGTGTGTGTGCGTGTTGAACTCGGTGTTGCCTATGAGCTTTGGCAGAGGGGACGGTGGGACGGAGAGCGCTATCGCATAATGGTTTATAATAAATGACAATATTAATTACAATTTCGATCGTTACAACATAGAGGAAATAATTATAATAATACCAATAGGGAAGAAATACGGGTGGTTAACAGTGTCCGGTCGTCCAGTCGCCGTAGCTGTCAGCCCATACCGTCACCGTCAGAACGCCACAGCCGCATCCAAACCAACAAACACTGACAGGAGCATTTCTGTAAATAATWACTGGATTATAAATGTACATAGGGGGGAACATAAAAAAATTTAATATAAAAGAAAATTGGTATTTACCTTGGCAGGCATCACATGGTTTATAGAATAATGACAATATATTTTTTTTATACCATTAAAAATAAAGTTATAATTATGATCACCTCAGGATATTATGAATAAATTGATCGGAAAATGAATATAATAGATTTTTTTTTTTGAGAGAGGTAATAATATTATGGATTAATTATTATGGATACATATTATTAGCCATTTAATTGCCATGAGAGAAAAGTGCACGATTCATTGATTTTATAATTTTTATATTTTTGTTTAGCCAGTTTAAAAGGGAAGAGTTATATTTTGTAGATTTTACCGTTTACATTATTGAAAAGAGAAGAGAAAGGGGGAAAAAATAAAAGTATTGTGAGTTACAAATGGGATTTTGGACATCGCGTCCTGTCTAGGTCCACGGATAGACATACGGTCGAAGCCAAACACCGCTAGCCAATCAAAAACGATTATTGATAAATGACGTCACAATAGACCCGATTTTTCAGCCATATACACCGTACCTATAGTATAATAAAACGTCTTTTCAAATTTCGTAATTCATAATAATTCGCCAAAGATTTTTTCAACATAAATATATATTATTAAGACCCAAGACTAATTAGTAAAACTATTATTATATCGTCCAACTAGCTTATAAACTTAACTGTATGATGAATGTTTTGATTTTTTTCAACAGTTACTTACTATATAATTATATCATAACTATTTAGTACCTTTAAATAATAATTATTTTCCTGAAATGCTTCTTAAACCTTAATAAATATTTTTTTGTTCTCTAAACAATTTATGTATAAAATTAATTACATTTAAATTGTTTGTTTAGTGGAGATAATAATTCTATTAAAATAAAATTTTTATTCTGTCTTTAATTATTAGTTTACAAATGTGTGTACAAATTATTTTCTTTTATAAACAAATTGAGTCACAAATCATAAATATACTAATTTTAATATAGTCATTTCTACAAATATAACTGAAAATTACAAACAGAATAAAAGCCAAAATTAATTTTTTCAGGAATAAAAAAATATTTAAAATTAACATTAGAATACAATTAGGTATATACACAAATATATTCAAATTAATCGTTAACATATAATTTAATAAAAAAAATTAACAAATAGTAAATGCTAGTTTTTTTTTTTTATAAATTATTATCTCATAGAATTTAGGTTATAATTTTTTTTATTTTTTTTTTTATAGATTTTCTATCTGATGTTAAAGATCTTTTACGTTTTAACTGCACTGTCATAAGATCATCATTCTATTGTTTAATTCGAATGTATGTTCTTTGGAGGACAAATGCTTTTATTAAATCTTCTGGCATATTACATTTTTTCATTATTAAATTAGATAATCTTTTAACAATATTTGAGTTTGGGTCGACTTTTTCTTTGTAAAACTTTTTAAAAATGTTTTCAAACTGTTTAGCTTGCATAACCCAATTTTCAGTTGGCTCAGTTAAACCTCCAAATGATAAATGATGAACCCAACTAGGCATGTTATATGAATGTTCAGGTTTATTATCTTTAGTATAGTTTCCCAAATTTGGATATTTGTTTTTAAATTTTCTGGCAAGCCAGCCGCATAAATATATAAAGCCATCTTCTTCATTTGTTGCTTGTAAGTTTTTTTGGGCAGATTCATCTTCTGATGACAAACTGCTATCAGATAATTCTCCATTATTTTCTTCATTATTTAAATCAATTTTAACATCTGCAGTTGCCATAACATTGGCAACTAAATATTCTTCTGAATTAGATTGGTCATTTTGTATTTCAATATTCTGTTTGGCCTGCACTACTCCTGGATTCTTACCAAGCATAATTATTCTGATCCTATACATAGCATTTAAAGGTGTTGGATGATCATTTAGTCCTCTGCGACTCCTAATCAAAGAAAAAAAACTTTCAAGACTATCTTGATTTAGTCTGTGAGTCAGTATGTAAGATATATTATATTTTTTATTCAAATGTTTGAAAAGTTCTTGAGTAGATTTAATTGAAATTAAAATTCYTTTTTGAAATGTTTGCARTACGTTTTTACCTTGGCATTTCATTGAATATATTAAATTGTATACTTTTTCTAAGCAATYATTCTGCTCCTCTAAATTTAAGCCATATGGCTTTTTAGTGCACAACGTTTCAGATGGCGTGTAAGAATTCATTATATCAAACCAATTACTTATAGTTTCAATAAATTGTCCAGTATTTTCTGATAGTATCTTATCTGGACCAGGTTTATAATGGATTAAAGCTGTGGCAACACTATGTGAAAGTAACTGTGCTGCTAAGCCAACATTTTGTCTTTCAGACTTTATACAGTCTAAATGTTTTTGTGTTAGTTTGTGACAAACTGAAATTTCAGTCTGAGTAATTTTTAGTAACTCTTTTAACGGTGCTGAATTTATTCTAGAACCGTCAGACAGAATGAATCCGGTATCTAACGGTTCATAATTTAGTCTGTGGACCATCAGCCAATAAATAGATTTTCTCTTTTGTACTAGGATGAAKAAAAAATGTTTTATCTTTAGTTATATCCAACTTTTTCCATAATCCTACATTACTACCACCACAATCTGATACACAAGCTACTACAGTATATGCATTTTCATACAAAATAGATATAGCTTCCTTCAGAATTTCCGGCGTAACTTGTTGGTCAAAGTTCACATATATTGGTTGCTTCCAGTTTTTAAAAATGCCTCTCACCATGATAACTTGCATTTGACTGTGTGGTCCTATGACTTGATCATTGTTTTTTGTCGTATTCGTAAGCTAATAATATTTCAATTTCGACAAATTGTATAACACACAATTTTTCAATATCATTTAAATTTAACGCTGCTATTTTTATAATTCTTATGACATCAGTTAGAAAACCTTGACAAAAACTTAATCGAGATGCCCATTTCACTAAAGTTGAAACATGTGGAAGTGGATACTTCAATGTGTTTCTAAGATAAATATAGCATCTTTTACTAAGATATCTTAACGTAAAAGCTCTTGAAATGTCTTCTGTTCCCCATACAACTTTTTTTTTTTAGTTATTAATTGTAACTGAGTGTTGCTAAATACTATGTTTAAAGATTCCTGTAGGCGTTGAGTGTTTGTAAAACACACTCTCCATATTTTTGGGAGAGTGTATTGACATTTTTGTTCAGTGTGAKAACACGGTGTTTTTGAACTCTTTTGAATTGTAATAAATGTTTATACTTTGTTTTTAATTTTGAGTGCTCGTTGAGTAATTTTTGGTACTTTTGTTCAATAGATTCTTCAATGATAGCTGGTGACAGCCCATATAATTTGTCTTGATCTTCTTGTGTTAAATCTTCATCACTTCGTGTATGATCATTATCTTCAGTTGGATGTAATAAGTTTTTAACAATARTTTCATTATGACGTTTATTAGCTCGTACTTGTCTGGATGTCAAGTCAGTTGATATATTTGATAAATAATTCTCTTTTAAGTTCTGAGTTGGAACAGCTAAAAAAAGAATAMAATTATTAGGTATACCCAGGTTAATAAAGTAGTTAATTAATTAGGTACCTGACGTTTTCAATTTTTTTTTTTTGTTTTGATGTTCATTAATTTACTTCTTAAATCTACTTCAAACTGATCTTCTAAAAAATGAATACTACAAATGGTGCTGGTCTTAGGATTCYATTCATCCTTTCTGCGGCAAGAATTTATTCAAGCATTACATAATTTTGGATCCTTTGGAAATGTATGGTATGAAAYATTTAAATTATTTTTCTTGGTTGCTTGTAAACTATTTTTGCATATTGCGACAGCACATCTAGTTCCAGGCATCTACTTAAAAATATTGGTATTTAATAAATTGTTACCATTTTGGTATATTCAGTATTAATGTCTATTTACATTAGTAGAAATGTTCCGAAATGATATTTAGTTTGAACGACATACTACACAACACCACCTAGAGTAGGTCACAGGGTTACACGTTACACAACTTCCCGAATTTGTGGCCTAATGTAAAACACTAAAACTACTAAAACTGTAAACGTACCTTAAAGTGTGTAGTCAAATGGCAGTCGGMAGCACGGATAATAGACATACGGTCGAAAAAAAATGACAGAAAAACGGGAATTACTACGTATAAAATTAATACGTAGGAAGGTGCACGAGTTTTGGTTTCAAAAACAGTTGCCAACACTGAACAAGATTTTAGTAGCTGTTAACGAAGACCCAGACTTGCACACATACAAAAGGTCCACTCTTCATATGCTTATACGCGACTTAAATTTTGTCTACGTCAAACGCGGTCGCAAAGCGCTCTCATAGAAAGAGAAGATATTGTGTTGTGGCGTACAAAATACATTGAAGACATTCGCAAATACCAATCACAGGGAAGGACGATCTACTACCTGGACAAGACCTGGGTCAACGCAGGTGACTGCATCGATAGAATATGGCAGGACAATACACGTCTCACAGAGAAGCTTTTGTATCCGGTCTATCAACTGGCGCACCAAATCCAACAGCAAAAGGTAAACGACTCATTGTTGTGCATATTGGGTCAGAGGAAGGGTTTTTATACGGCGGCTTATTGGTATTTGAATCAAAAAAGGCTCGGCMGATTACCATGAAGAAATTAATGGCGATGTATTTTTGGACTGGTTGAAAGGCGTCATTCCATTACTCAAAGACAATTCTGTCATAGTAATGGACAATGCGCCTTATCACTCAGTAAAATGTGAAAAATGCCCAACATTAGACTGGAAAAAGGCTGAAATTGAAAATTGGATGGAAGAAAAGGGTGAACAATTCGATAGGCCGATGAACAAGATACGGCTCATGGACATCGTGAAACGCATTAAGCCGAGGTTCAATACATACGTTATGACGGTATTACGGACGCTACTGTATCATTGTGAATGCAACCCCATAAAACTTGCGTGGTCTTCAGTCAAAAGGTACGTGAAGACAAACAATACCACTTTCAAACTTCCGGACATAAAAAAACTTTTGATCGAAGGTGTCAAATCTGAAATGTGGAAGAACTTTGTCCATCACGTCATTAAAGTAGAAAACAGGTTCTGGAAAGTGGACTTGACTATCGATGATGTGATGGATGATGACAATCTCCATGTAATGACGATCGGGGACACATTGGATTCAGACGATCTACGAAAGTGAACCCTTAGAGTATAGTATATTGTGTGGCAAGGGCGGGAAGTGAGCCATTTCAGTCGCGGGCGTCGTGTGCGGCACGAGCCGTAGGCAAGTGCCGCATTTCGTGCAAGACTGAATGGCCTTCCCGCGCGAGCCACACATACTATTTTTTGTCACGCCCCTGCGTTCATGGAAAAGGTTATGCAGGGATCTATGCAACAATTATAGACTATTCTACAAAAACAATTTCATAGAAAACATTTTATTTTATTTCAAAATTACAATTTTCACTTTGTATATTTTATTATTGTACCTAACTGATAAGATTATTATACTAATATACTATATTATTACTAACGCATCGTTCGACGCACTTATCTAGGAACAGTGCAAATTAAATATGTTTAAATGTTTATGCGTCATGCATAATATTATACTATTATACGATGTTATACTATACATTTATGATGTAACCAAAAGTTTATGTTTTGTAAGAACCAYGGTAGGTATACATTTTATTTTCTGGTTGTGCAGGGGATACGCGCCCTGCGGCCGTCACTTTTGGGGATTTCTTCTATTCCGCCTGGCACTTTTGGGGATTTCCTCTTTTCCGCCCGGCATTTTTGGGGATTTCCTCTTGTTCGCCCGGCACTTTGGGGATTTACACTTTACCGCCCGCTGGACGGAAAAAGGACACTTTCGAACGCTTCAACCGTGGTCGAAAACCAAACTTTCGGTGCAGGCGTGACAAAAAATATATTTTGTATTATGTATATTGTATATGAAACTAATTGGTAAACAACAAAAAATTAACTAATAAAAAAGAATTTTATGCTAACTTATATTTTACGCTTATTTTATGTATTATAATAACGTATTTTTTACTAMATTTATCTATCCGAAAATTTAGAAAAAATATTGTTACCATTATATAAAAAAAAAGTATTAAATATTGAAGAAATATGAAACGTATTAAACGTGTTATACGAGCGCGARTAGCCAACAAATTGCTAATTATAGCAACAGGTTGTTGATTTCCGAGATGGACAGATCGGCTGTCTTCGGCACTCCGAGAGGGGGGGAAATTGGGCCTCGGCGCTCACGCGGTCGTCAGTCTACATGCGCAGAAGTGGCGCGTTCTCTCGCTGGACAGACTATAGAACGGTGTACACCAGCCATTTAAAATTGAGTTGACCTTACTATATAGTGCGCTGTAGTGTATATATCATACGGGGACAAGTATAAGACAATACATGTATATTATACGAGTATTCGACGACGATGGTCAATGACCAAAACTGTAACAATAAACGGCACAAGTCTGAATTTTTTTTTTTTTTTTAATTTTGTAACGTCACAGAATTTTAGGCCTCTATTAATATTATTATTCATTGAACACACCTTTCCCCACAATAATAGTACTATCACATTATCGGTCTGTGACCATTACTTTAATGGTTTTCTCATTAGTACAATAGCTGAATAGCGCGTTGCGATTAATACGAACAATAGTCATGTTATATAAGCACTGTCCCCCAACCCCTCTTCAACGTATTGTCCGGTGACTTAGCTCGGCAGCTGTGGTTACCTGCGCTGTCAGCGATACGGTCGCGTCCGCTGGTACGAGGTGTGGCAATTAAATAACGAGAATTTGTTTCTATCTCCTATAGTGGTAACACTACCAACCTTGAAAATTTGTTGACCTTAAGTTCACGAGGTAATACACAAGTCTGCCAAATTTGATAGTGATCGGTGTTATATTTTGTGCTCTCCGATTTTTTAATGTTAGTAGTGTAGTGTCGTGACGTACAAAAATGTGTGACGTGAAAAACGAGCA